AAAGAACTGAACCTCGAGTCAGGGAATGACATCTGGATCGAGATATTGACGAGACCTGTACCCAAAGGGTCGTTCGCCAAATTCCAACCGCTCACTCAATCCTTCTTAGAGATAACTGATCCCAAGACAGTGCTGGAGTACTGTCTCCATATGTACACCTGTATCAGTAAAGACGATATCATCTCTATTTACTACAACCAAAACATATATGAATTGAGAATATGTGAGACACTGCCGGCCAATACTATAGACATCACGGAATGTGATCTCACGGTAGACTTCGCTGAGATGAGACCCAAAGAAATAGAATTACCAGAAGAATGTGATTTGGATAGAATTGAGGCTCAGATCCCAGACTCGTTCAGTCCTTTCACGGGCACCGGACAGACAACAAGCGGTTTAAAAGTTGCACAAATTCCCAGTCCTATTGCATCAACACTTAAACGCAAATTAGGAGAGCCTGACTATGGCTACCAAATGGGAAATATATTATTTAAGAGACGTAAAACAGATTTGACTCAATGCCAGTCCTCCCAAACCGATCAAAAGAAGACTAAACAAGACATACAAACGCAGAGTACAAACCAACAGATGGAAAACGATGGTCCGAATCAGTCAAGTAATGGACAACAACAACAAAGTCGGAACTCCGGTCCCATCACTAGAAGTCAAAGCAGAGGACTTAAGAATCAAAGCAATACCACAAACAGTGAATCAACTAATGGTAACCCAAACCAAACAAATAGAGGCTCATCGAAGAAATCGAAGAACTCTGAGAACCAGAAGATTCGGAATTCAAATAGCAATCAAAGTAATGATTAAAATCCAATAAAGCAATCAAATTATTAGCAAATATTTAATCGCAAAATCAATTTTAAAACAATTTAAATCTTTTATAACAAAATATTGATATTTAGCTTATAAATGGCATAAAAATTACATTCATTTTATGACTTTAATTTACAGTAAAATAGTTGTCAGCATAAGTTGTCTGGGTTGAGACTAACTCGTAAAACAATAGCTATTAATAGTCGTTTAAATTTTGATAGTAGCTTCAGTAGAAAATAATAAACGATAAACTCTAATAAATTATTATCAAATGTAATGAATTGCACTCACAGTATGAGTACTGAGGACTTTATATTCTCGTGACTTTATATTATGACTCTATAACAGAATTAAATTAGATTTTTATAATAATTAAATATTTTGAGCATTAATTGAATATTGATATCACTTTCAGCAGATATGGCTTCAATTGTAGAAAAATATAACTATAAATAAAACAATCGACGACTAGTTGTTGCACTTTAATTGATTAGACGGTATTTAATTGGAAGAAAATCTTGAATGTGTGCGAAGTTTCCGTAATTTACATTAGATTAGAGTTAAGCTCAAAGTTGTGATTATAATCGTATGATTGTTGTACTCATCATTAAGCGGTCAACCGGACAGTTCGACGGGAGGGGCGTATGAGAAGCCCTGAAAGGCATTGTCTGGAAGACTGGACGACACACTCATTCCCTGCGACTTACAAACGGACGCCGGTATGGCTTCGCGTGTAAACTCTGGGTCAATGTTTTTGAAGTCTAAGTGACCCTTCTGTTCAGTTTAAATACATTTAATGGAAGACTGGACGACACACTCATTCCCTGCGACTTACAAACGGACGCCGGTATGGCTTCGCGTGTAAACTCTGGGTCAATGTTTTTGAAGTCTAAGTGACCCTTCTGTTCAGTTTAAATACATTTAATTGTAGTCATTATCATTTAAATTAATAATAACACAATTGCAAATTCATACCACATTGGGATTAAATGGTGGCGGAATATTCTTGGATTCGAGATCAGCCCAATTGATTGGTTTAAAAAATTCGTGGCGTTTCAGCTCTTCGGTGTCCTCCATACAACCCAAACGCTTTTTCTTATCTTTTTGTAATAACTAATAAAAGACAACAAATTCATTATTTAGGGAATGACTGGTTGACTGGTTTAATGTTTTAATATAAAGTATAGATATTTATAATGCATTACCCCTTCAAGTATACTGCGAGCGGCCAGAGATATGTTGGTCCGAAGTCTGACCGGTTTGTGCAGAATATTGTCGTACATCTCAGCCGTGTCTCTGCTATAGAATGGGGGCTAATATTATGGAAGACTGGACGACACACTCATTCCCTGCGACTTACAAACGGACGCCGGTATGGCTTCGCGTGTAAACTCTGGGTCAATGTTTTTGAAGTCTAAGTGACCCTTCTGTTCAGTTTAAATACATTTATTTGTAGTCATTATAATTTAAATTAATAACACAATTGCAAATTCATACCACATTGGGATTAAATGGTGGCGGAATATTCTTGGATTCGAGATCAGCCCAATTGATTGGTTTAAAAAATTCGTGGCGTTTAAGCTCTTCGGTGTCTTCCATACAACCCAAACGCTTTTTCTTATCTTTTTGTAATAACTAATAAAAGATAACAAATTCATTATTTAGGGAATGTCTGGTTTAATGTTTTAATATAAAGTATAGTCTATACTATTTCTAATGCATTACCCCTTCAAGTATACTGCGAGCGGCCAGAGATATGTTGGTCCGAAGTCTGACCGGTTTGTGCAGAATATTGTCGTACATCTCAGCCGTGTCTCTGCTATAGAATGGGGGCTAATATTCAAAGTAAATTAAATTAATGTTATATTTGAAACAAGTCTAAACAAATGCTAACCAATCCATAGAGCATTTCATAGAGCACAGCCCCTAAGCACCACCAGTCCACTGTTCGATCGTAAGCCTCTTTTTTAAGCACTTCTGGAGCCAAATATTCAGGAGTTCCGCAAAATGTATTCGTTGTGTCGCGTTCTCGAAGGCCTTCCTTACAAAGTCCAAAATCAGTGAGAATTACGTGTCCGTCGGAGTCCAGTAATATATTCTCTGGTTTTAAATCGCGATATACTATGCCCTGTGAATGGAGATACCCTGTGGATATTGGTAATCCATTAGTACATAAAGACTTAATCTACAGTATTAATCAAACAAGGAAATACCTTACCTAAAGCACTGGTAATCTCTGCGGCATAAAACCGGGCGCGCGGTTCAGCAAAATATCTCTCTTTTTGTAAGTGAAAAAATAGCTAAAAATATGTCGTAAAACAGATGAGAATTCAATGTCAATAAAACAAACATTTATGATAACATTTATAATATAATAGTAATTAAATGTTATCTCATATGCCATACCTCACCGCCGTTGACGTAATCCAAAACGAAATATAGCTTTTCTCGCGACTGAAACGAATAGTAAAGTCCGACCAAAAAGGGATGATTCAAATTCTTGAGCAAAACATTTCGTTCACTCATTATGTGATTCTTTTCGTTGCGTTTTATAATCATTTTCTTATTGAGTACTTTCACCGCATATATTATGTCTTCGGCCTTATGTCGCGCGGAATATACTTTCCCGAAACTACCCTTTCCTATCACTTTCAAGAACTCAAAGTCACTGGCCTTCGCGTGATGTTTCTCAGAGGGACCCAAATCTATCAATTTGTTACAATTATTGGCAGTGATAGTCAACTCTTCTTCATTGTCCTGATCCTCGTCACCACTACTGCTCTTCATACTCAACCGATCCAATTGGAAAAAAGTTCGCACTTCGGCGCTAAGGGGTTAGGGGGTTAGGGGTCAACACATTCACCATTGTATAGCAATCTCAATATACTTATTATAAACCATATTAATTGAATACTTACTGATCTAAAACTCTGGGTTCGGAAAGCATAGTCTGCACCATACTATCGAGACCTTTGCGCCGAGTTTTGATGAAATCGCTGCTAAAGTTGTTGCCAAAAAGTTTTTTGCCCGGAAGCTTCAGGTCCTTGGACAGCCACGGGTATTGTTTCTTAACCTGTGGTACAGTTTGTTTTATGGCATTAGTGAGACGTTTGAGAATCGCTAATATAATGTAAAAGAGATGACTGACTAAATCACACAATTTGCTGAATTCATTATATCTCCGGTAGAGAACCCAAGTCTTGTCATCACAATTGACGACCACTTTATAGACGGCGTATTTCTTATTGTTTTCCCAGATCTCAGAATTAGTCACATTTGCGGTGACAGTCATTGTCGACAGCGAAGTTATTTCGGTTTCAATGCGACTATAATAACTGTGACATCAGGAGAGAGGTGTAAAAATAAAATAAATAAAAATTCAATTCGTTTACGACTACAGTATAGTTTATCTCGGATTCAATCATTATTAGTGCGACAGTGAGACCCTTTCGACTCGTTTGATAAAATATTTCGTAATGATCTGCACTTCAATGGAGACTTTATTATCAAATTTAGTGAAAACAAGGCTTAAAAGCAAATAAATTTCAACCAATACGATAAGGTTGAAGACGATTCTTAGATCAATAATTATTGTTCAATACAATGAATACATGAAAAACCCTTTAGTTCGCACAATTGGGATAATGTGTGTAATATTCCTAACCATTCAATGGTCACAATTCATATATAGGGTAGTAATGCCTAAGTCTATTAAACTTACAAATGTTTACATTGAATGGAAAAATAAATAAACTTTTTTGATATACAACTATTTACTGAACACTAATTTGTTGCTAAAACTTCTTTATATCGCTTCTCAAAGGCCTAAATTCGTGACAAATGTTTATGTCATATAAACTCAATTCATGTGTCATTCAAATAAAATACTAATATTTAATCAAAACTAAAGATTATATTAATACAAAAAAAAGTAATACATTTCCAATAGAGGCCTAAATTCGTGACAAATGTTTATGTCATATAAACTCAATTCATGTGTCATTCAAATAAAATACTAATATTTAATCAAAACTAAAGATTATATTAATACAAAAAAAAGTAATACATTTCCAATAGGATTTGAGACAAATGTAGGCTTTGAAACACTCGTATCGCATATTATGATAACATATCCAGGTCTATTACTAACTTACATAACAGTGTTATACTTTTCTCCACATGAATACAAGTAATATAAACAATAGGATTTGAGACAAATGTAGGCTTTGAAACACTCGTATCGCATATTATGATAACATATCCAGGTCTATTACTAACTTACATAACAGTGTTATACTTTTCTCCACATGAATACAAGTAATATAAACTGTGTCTGAAAGGGATAGACTATGAGATTTAGATTATCATCTGTTTTGAGGTCAATATGATCAATAGATTAACTGATCGTAAGATATGTATGATTAGAGAATTTCATGGATTCATATTTAGTAACTTTGGAAATATGTTTGCAAACTGAATGTATGGTAATGAAGGGAACAGTATGTTTGGCACCCAATCAGTGGTGTTCTTGACGTTGAAAAAGTATATTTAGTGTAAAAATGGTAATTAATCTGAATTGTGGTAATCTGTTAATCACTTTAACCACATTTCAAACGATAAGAATTGCAATACATATGCTATTAACGTATAATTACTTTCGGCACATACAGTATTATATAAAACAAATATTTATCTATTTTATAATTTCATTAAAAGTTTGTTATAGTTTACGATTGCATTTGATATGAGAATTGCCTTTAAATGTAATAAACAATAAAAAATATTTATTTATTTTGCTTAACGTTTTACACATTAATTATAAGTTATAAATGAGAGATAAAACGATTGACACAGACTTACATGACATCTGACTTTAAAAGGCTGTTCACAGACTCTTGTGGTGACTGTCGTTGTCTTGTATGGACTCTGGAGGACAGAAACCACTTGTGTCTCAACGCTATGATATGTGAGATGAAGGGCAGCACCAGAACCGGGCAATGGTGTGGACCCACACACGACACCACTTACTGATCAGTGATTTGGTTATAAAGTGATCATTTGTGTGGCACGGGATTCACTGGCTGTGTGAATGGCTTTTTAATTGTAAAACAAATGCAATGCAATCGTATTCAAGGTCTCAAATGTGGGCATTTTTAAGGCAATCAATTTGTTGAAACAACTTATAGCCAACTAATGTCACACTTATTCCTCACTCCAACACCACTTATACTCCACTACTCTCTCACAAGTCTAACACACACTGCAGTCTGCAGTCTCACTACCCGTACAGCACTCGCATCACAACTTCAATCCAACTTAACATTGAGAACTGAATGCAAGAATATTTCACTCTATTCTACAGTATATTCAGTGTATTCAATGTATTCAATGTATTCAATGTTTGCCGTAATTACTGTCTAAAGCCATGCATTCATACAATTCTTATCCTCAAAAACATTCAATGAATTTAATACTCAATTCATTTTAATTATGTCTTAATTGTATTAATTAATGTCTAACTTATTGAATTAATTATATTAAACACCACACTATAACAAACAAATGGTATGTAGTGTCTCACTATCCATTTATCACATAAAATCTATGTCATAAATCCAAACTATTACACATTATTCTCTATATTTATTTGTATCTATGTTACTCTAGTAGTAGTTACCAATTCTTGTCTAGAATACTGTAGACACTTAGGATTGATCCAGGTGCTTATTGTACCTTTAATCATTATTTATATAGGGTACGTTTTGAGTGACATTTAATGACAATAATTTTTGCACTTATTTGTAAATATACTACACAAATATTATCTAGCAGAATATACCGTATATATGCTATTATAGTAATACAAACAGAATTTGTTTGGTTGTTATGTTGTGTTGTGGTTGTGTTTACTGTATATCAACACAGTATATGATTTGTTACTAGAAATGCATTTCTTTATAAACAAGTAATATTAATATAACAATGAATATTATATGTAAATTACTACAGCATCACTAGTACCTTGATACAAATT